TTCAATTCTGTGGATTTGGATAGATGATGTACATTTCTGTTCAGGAGTGCTGCTGATTCAGTATCCCACAGTACACTCAAATCTGGCATCATCTAGGTTTTTCTAGAGTGATTATAAATAAATTTATAATCCTCATATATGCATACGTACATAAATATACAACACACACACACAGCATATATATGGTATGTATACATCACTGATCATTCTGAACAGTGTAATTTGAGGGGTGTGTGTGTGTTGAGTGGCAGAGATAAGCAAGAAAAGAAAGATAAAAATCCAATACGGAGCCTTAATTCTATTTTGCCTGAGATATTGTAATATTTACCAAGTATTTTGTTTCACTAAGTTTAGAATGGTTCAAAACTTACAAAGAATTAAGATTTAAGTGTTGAACTTCTCATGTAACCTATGGTCTGATTCACTATTCAGTTTTGACTACTACATTCTGATTTTCCAATTTGGACATAGAACTTTTTCTTTAAAATAAAAAAAAAAAGTTCCTTCCCTATATATCAAAGTCAAAGTTAAAACATCAAACATTGTATTAAGTTGAACTGGGCATTAGAACAAGAGAAACATAAGAAGAGAAATGCCCAGCAAGACTTAGTTTTTCTCTCTTACTTTCTCTCGCTTGTATTTATGCATTTACTTAACTGTGTTTGATGAATTTGGTGTCTTCTGTGGTTGCATAGTAAAGTTTTCTTTCTTTTTTTAAATTGAGATATAATTGACATAAGTAAAATTTTTATTAAAGAAACAAAAAGAATGGTGGTCCACTTCAGACCAGTTAGAGTACTTCCACTCAGCATTTCAGTGTTAAGTTTGTTTTTATGACCTCCCCTACCCAAGGCTTCATTACTTTTTGCTCTTTAGGATAATCTTAGTTTTCAAAAGGCATTTTGTAAACTCACAGTGTGGAGGGAGTAGGAAATAGTACAGAGATTCAGAGGAAGCAGTTGCAATTCCAAGCAAGCCCAAGTTATAGGACTATGTCATGTCTTAATTTACATGGCATTTCTGTGTACCACACTGGGGTATTAATAGAGTCAGAATTACCCTTTGCTGTATTACCACTGCCTTTTCTTAAGTATTCTGTTATATGCTTCTGGTCTTGGGATCATTGTTTTCTCTTCTACAGTGTATTTTGGGAAAAGCTTCTCCTGCATATTATTGATTAAAGGTGAGTAAATGTACTTTCAAGTATTTCCTATGTGCAAAGTATTCTACTTTACTGCAGGAGACTGGAGGTTGAATGAGGTTTAGTTTGTGTTCTTGAAAGTGACCATCTGGGGGCTACATTTGGGACTCCTCTCTTAGTGAGTAGTACTGTCTGTACTCATAAACAGCAGATTCCTATTCAGATCCTTACCCTTTGTGCCTAGGAACTCATCTTCTCTCTCCATCCCAGCCATTTTTTTGTTCCATGAGAGAAATTTACATCTGCGTATTGGCATTTCCTACCTAATTGAAGCAAGCAGGAAGAGCCTTAGTACTGTTTTTGATCTTGTATTATATAATAAGTTTGAATATAATCTAGATTTTTGCTAATGATTATCTCTCTCTCTTCTGGAGATAAATATTCGTAGTAAGTCCATTTCTAGAAAAACCGTCTCTGTCTCAGAAGAACTCAAAATTGAGTTCCTTCATAGATTCCTCCTTCCACTTAACTACATACATCTGCACACTGCTTCCTCTGCTAGGATCTTTCTCATATTTCCAACACTCTCTGGCCTTCCTCCCATTTTAGGGTCCTCTTCTCTTCATCTGATGGTCAGTAGGCATGAGTTCTTTCTGTGTCTCTTCCATCTTCCTTCTCTTTGTATCTCCTCAGAAGGACAGTGTTTTATGACAATTAATGGTTTAGATCGACTGATTCCAGAGTCCAACAATAGGTCTTTGTTAAGATCAAGTGCTGCCTTCTATCTGCTCTGTAGAGGCTGAACCTAACCTCTTGAGGAGCAGGATCAGTACTCTCTAAAGAAATCTGTCTTTCTTCTTTCTCTGCTGCTCTCGCTTTTCCTCTTACCACCCCAACATTACTGTGTGAGTGTTAGAAAATCTCCCAAGCCTGCTACCATGTGGGTAAACGGGCAGACTTTCCCATCCCCACTTCAAGTGTTTTGCATATGGTATTTAGGAAGATTATTAAACAAAAATGAAATAGATTAAGAAATGAGCATAAAAGAATCAATTCTCTTGAACTGTGGTTGCATAATGGAAATCGACTACCATGAATGAGCCCTTGTACTGAAGTTATGAACAGCAGAGCTAATGCACTGCCATGAGTTCATCTTTATTATTGCATTACACCTGAATCAATTGATAAAATAGCCTTTTTTTTTTAAAGCAAGGGATGGCACTTAATTGAATAAAAGTCAATGTAATTATATTAGCAGAGGCCAACAGTACTGCTGACAGCGGAAAAGGGACACTGTTGAACAGAGTGCCAGAGCTGGTCTACACATTTCTGCACATCGTTTGGTTGACAGATATTGAGGGCTGGTACATCATCTAATTAGATTACAGATTTCTGTTGCTGTAAGTGAGAAATGAAGAGAAACATCTCTTCCTGGTAACATATCAGTAGAGATGTGTTATTTCACAAGTCATCTTAGGAAAGAAGTGTCCATCTGGGTGATCAGTGTGTCCTTTTGCCAATGTTAATTTATTCTTCCTTATTCAGTGTGTCTTGATGTGACTGCTATGTGTCTATTTTCTCAGCAGTGTATCTAGGAAGTGGTAACTGCAGATGTGTGAGTAGCAACAGGGTTCTAGATTACAGTCATCACAAAATGTGTGCTTGTGAAATTAAGAAAGTGGGGAGGGTGTTAAAAATAATAAACAGAGGGGTAGGATTTCGTGGGCTACTTACGGTTGGCAGATTGTTTTATCAATAGAGTAAGAGTACTCAGTGTAACTCTGTTTCCATGTTCTTCTAATAACTCTGGGGGCGTCATACCCGCATGTCAGGGTGGAGACCGCGCAGTAGGCATTGACTGCACTGTGCTTTGCAACCTGCACTTGGAGTCATCTGCCATCTGATGCCAAGGAAACAGGGAACACCAGTGTCAGGGCAGGGACTGTGGGGACAACTTCTGTTTATCACTCACATACTTGCACCCTGCATGCATCTGTGTGGAACTCATTTATGGATGATAATGATGCTGTGAACTTGGTTTATCTTAATTCGATTTACGATTTTTAGATTATACAGCTGATCTGAAAATCATCAAGACAGCATATGAGGTGATCGCTTATGACAGAAAATGATTTTGTGATCAGAACATTTTAAATCCCTATTTTATTGTTTAACTTTTTTTAAACCAGATGTCTAGAATGTGAATTTGTTTTCTCTCTCTCTCTCTTTCTCTCTCTTTCTCTCTCTCTGTCTCTCTCATTCTTGCTTTCTTTTGTGATCGATTTAGCAAAAGATTAGAAAGCTGATCTTATTATCACAAGGTAAGCTCAGCCTTCCTAAGTGCAGTGTGGAGAGGGCTGCTCCCCTCTGCCCCTTAACACCCGGAGTGCTATATATTGTCTTGTGTGGAAAGGTGGAGAAGTCTTTCCTACCTTTCTTGTCTCTGAGGCACATACCTCTCAACCATCTCTAAGAAATTAGCCATGCTTGTCACCAAATGGAGTGACTCATTTTGGTCTTCCATACGTTTTAATTATAATCAGGAGGTCTGTTGAATGTTATACTGGCCATTCTAGGTTATTTCTATTATCACAATTACTTTTTCAAGATGTAGAGCTTCTGCCATTATCGAGAAGCTTTTATGTATCTGTGTATTTATTTATTGGTTTATTTTTTGGAAGGGTAGCCTTCAATTTAGGTACTTGTCAAACATGTGAGCCTTTGCAGGTGGAGAGAGGTATATGCCCAAGGGCACTTTAAAAATAAATGGGGGATGTAAATACAAAGGCAATGTTTTCAGATAGATAATAACATATTAGGCTTTGTAAATCATGACATCCCTATGGGATGCTGTGGGACAAATCCTATCTTTTTTTTTTTTAAACACAAGCAAAGCACTTAGAGTAAAAGTTTTGCTTGTCTAAGAAGTACATTGTTAAAAAAGGGGGACCATATATTGTGCTTGATTTTGGGGGTATTGTGTGTTTTCTTTTTTGTCCCTTTTGGGTTTTTTCTGTTGTTCAGTGTGATTTTTTTAAAGGGTGGGTGGATTTTATTTTAAAAAACAATTTCTATTTTTCAGGCTTTGTTTTAAAGGATTAAATTTTAAAAGTTGAATTATTCGATAAAAGCATTTTCAACTCTAAAATGCAGCAGCTTCTGAAAATGACGTGTAGTTTACTAGTAGATTAGTTGAGATCCCAAATTATTCTGAGGAAAGGGATTTATGATACAGTCTGTAACCCTATTTCAAATTGCTAATCTATAAAACTAAATTTTTTCCTTCCTAGAACATGAAGTATAGAAAGGCAAGGGGGAAGATGTCATTATGTTTTAAAGTTAAACTGAAATTATCTAGACCATTTACTTTTTTAAAAATTGATCTTTTTTATGCCTCCTAATGAAGCGCTGTAGGCAAAAAAAAGGGCTTTTTTTTTTTTAGGTGTAAATTCAAAGTATTCAGTTTAGGCAAGCAGCAAGTTTCCATTCTTTGATCCTATTTAATATATATTCTGACATCTCTGCTGTGAGATTCTGTGCAGCTGATGCTGCTACCTAGTAGAGCTAACAATATCATTGAGAAAAAGGTGCATGGGTTTGCATTCATTCTACCATTGAGGAATTTTACTCTTATAAAAATGATGTTAACGAAAAGCTCCCCTTGTTTGCACTCCCCACCACCACTTATTCCCAAATCCTGAGGATGTAGGGCAATGTTTGCTTTTATAATGGTGCAATTAGCAGTGAATGTGCTTATTTGATGCCTGGTGGAAGCTGAATCAATTTTAAAATGTTCTCCTTTTTCTCACCCCTCCCCACTCCCCGTACACCTCCCCCCCCTTCCCTCTTGTTTTCCTAGACACAGTGCCAACATAAACCTGCATCGCAAACTGTTGACCAAAGAACTCGATGACATGGGCCTGGACTCAGCGCAGCCCTCCCTTAGCAAGGACCTCCGGGATGAATTTTTGATGAAGATCTATGGTGCCCAGCACCCCTTGGGGCTCGATGTCAGGGAAGACGCCTCCTCTCCTGCAGGGACTGAAGACTCCCACCTGAATGGGTACGGGAGAGGCATGGCGGAGGACTACATGGTCCTTGACCTGAGCACCACCTCCAGCCTCCAGTCCAGCAGCAGCATCCATTCCTCCCGAGAATCCGACGCAGGCAGCGACGAGGGCATTCTTCTCGACGACATTGACGGGGCGAGTGACAGTGGGGAGTCAGCACACAAGGCCGAGGCTCCTGCCCTCCCTGGCAGTCTAGGGGCCGAAGTTCCAGGATCTCTGATGTTCAACAGCTTGTCCGGGAGCAATGGTGGGATCATGTGCAACATTTGCCACAAAATGTACAGCAACAAGGGGACTCTGAGAGTGCACTACAAAACTGTGCATTTGCGAGAAATGCACAAGTGCAAAGTCCCTGGTTGCAATATGATGTTTTCCTCTGTGCGAAGCCGAAACCGGCACAGTCAGAACCCTAATCTCCACAAAAACATTCCCTTCACTTCCGTCGATTAGTCTCAGAACGGACATTACAAATGCCAGCTCTCACCAGATGGCCTACATATCTGAACTGCCATAGTCAGTGTGTGCTTGTGTACTTGGGGGGTGGGGTGTGTGTGTACATATGTACGCCTCTGGGTCTACATATATATATACACACACAGACATCTTTTCTTTAGGTATAAAAAGATAAACACTAGGTGCTTTTGAAATTGTTTTCTTTTTCCTTTATAGTTTTGGGAAAGGGATGGGATCTTTAATTTGGGGGTGAAAACAAAGTACCCTTAAAACACACATACACACACACATACACACACAAAGTGTGCAACTAGCCCAAATTCTGAAAGAATAAGAATTCTTGGTCCTCTCCAGAGGGACAATTTGTTGTATCCATGACTGTTGCCTGCAAAAAAAAAAAATAAAGGGAAAAAAAAGAAAAAAGAAACAAAAAAGGAACTTCTTATAGTTGTCTTTTGTGAACTTTAAGGTTTTGAGAGAATCTTCAATTAAAGCATGGCAGATTCACCTGTAAATATTTAGCCTTGAGAGGCCAATGATGTAAAGCAATTGTATTGATGGTTGTTTAACTCTTTTGTTTAATTTTTACAGTTACATCCAGCTGTTAGATATGCAGGAGAAAAATAGTTTGCTGGCTAGCTCTATTCATTTATGTTAGCATTAATGCACATTTTTAAAAAAAAAAAAAAACATGGTCTTGTTTTTACTACCTGCTAGATATAGTGATAAAGAGGTGCTGGCATGCTTTACAGCACAGATCGGATTTTTTAAAATGTCCTGTACTAGTACATAAATCCAGTCATGCACTTTTTTTCATACACTACAAGGGGATGTGTAATATCCATGCTTCTTTTTTATCCTTAAACTATTGCCACACTTCAAGTAAGTGTCTTTTTAAAAAAATTCACTTGTATAAAAATGGTCTGGTCAGTATAGGGCACAAATGCCAAACAAAAGTATTAGTGTTAACACAAAACTGCCAACTTTGCACAAGTTTCCAGAAAAGAAAATACAATTAGTCACTCAACATAACCACAGGCCAATTTGTCGGCCACCAGAAAACCGCTTTAAAAAAAGAACACTTGGTGATTCTTTCAAGTGCCGAATGTTATTAGAATCAACATTGCATCCTTCTTTGCTTATATGTTAAGTTCCATAAAAGGAAAACACAATTACATGGTGTGAAACAGCCAAGGCATTTACTCTTCAGAGGCAGGATAATATTTCAGGATACAAAAGCCCAAATTACTCACTATGGAACAAAGCTGAATATAGTAAAAGTGTTGAACACTCATTTCCAAGGACCTAACCCTTCTCCTTTAAAAAGAAAGAAAGAAGTCTGCACTGGGTTGGTCTGTTGTATGGCTGTCTAATTTGTTGCAAGTTCTGCAGTAGTCCTATGATTCAGGCCTGTTTGATAGACAAAATCAAAAGACATTTCACAGCGGCAGTACTTGGAAGCTTTGAAAACATGTGCTGAACTTGAATTGAGCAACACTCCTTTCTGAAAAGCCAGACGAAGGGGGGTTTAAAATAGGATCTCTCACTGTTGAGTGTTTTGTGTTTCCCCACATGATTTGTCAGAGAGAAATGAAAGCAAGCCTGAAACCAAGCAATTGAGAGTGAGAAAAAGAGGGAGACGATTCTCCAAACCTTTTTTGTTTTTGTTTTGTTTTGTTTCCGATGTTTACACATGTTGCCTGAGCTGGTTAACCACATGGGCAGCCCTCAGCTACCACAACATACTGACTAAATGATGATATTTACTCAAGTTCAGTCTGCAGCCAAAACCATTAGGACGTGCATTGCAGACTGTGTTTTGTTGTCTGTTTTTTTCTTTTTTTTTTTTTTTAAGTGGAGGGGGGAAAGACAGATAAACAAGGAATATTTTGTCTTAACAGTACACAATAATTTAAAGAGAATGTATTTCTTTTCTGCATTTAATGGCCTCAAACATTTCTCTCATCGGTCTCAAAGTTAGAAATACCCCCTTTGTTTGAACTTTGCATGTTGTTTCCATTTTTCATATGTTTTGTAATTATTTTTTCTATGTTCACATCAGCATTCACTTCCGTTAAATTTGCCAAAGGAAACTGTTAATATGTTTCTGTTGTTGTTGTTATTCCTGTAGGATTTATTGTACCTCACAGTATTTATTGTTTCCAAAAATAAGCATCATTAGTTGAGGATTCAGTATTTTTATTTGTAAAAATTTCAGAAACAATAGATTCTTAAAGATAAGCTAGACTTGTCTAGAAGCTTCATCTTTTCATCTCCTTCAGAGGATGCTATGGGGCTCGTTTAATTCATTTGTTCGCCAGTGAGGAAAGACCAAAAGTATTCACAGTACAAAAGAAACCATATCAAACACTATGTTAAATGACAAATGTTTACGGTAAAAAGCTGAGGAATTAGTAATAACCATTTTTGTTTTCTTGTACCTTTGAATTCCCCAAAGTCTTAATTGCTTTATTTTGGTGTTGTGTTAAATTGAATAGACAGAGATGTTTTCCTTTGTTTTATACCATATAAGACTATGTACAGTATGTTTGTGAAAAATTGAACTAGAATAATGAAAGTTTGTTTGCAAACCTTTTGGTCCTCTTAGCGTTCTCTGTGTTGCGCTGTTGGCCCACTACCAGAAGATTCGAGTCAAAAAGGGTGGAAAAAATATTTTTTAGTATCTCAACAAAAGATTAGGGAAACACTGGCTTTTGGATTGTGATAGATGGAATTACACCTAGTTTTATGAAAATAACACATTTTTATTTCAGTGATATTTAAAAAGTTACACTCTTGGTTGAGATATTAGAACTCATCTTGTACAGAATCAATGTTTAGTCTGTTTAATTTAATGTCAACTGAAAGGTCAAATAGCCCTAGTGAGTGAATTACATAGCTGTCAGCAGGTCACATCAGCAAATGAACTGGGCTTAGAACAAATGTTTGTTACTTGCCACAAACTGGGCTAATGTGAATAGCCAGTTAGAAGAACAGTCCAGAAGCAATGAGATTCTCAAGGTAGAATTGCCCTTGCTCAGAAACATGAATGTGTTCGCCTGAGATTTGTCAGAGAAATGGCTGTGAGTCCTGGACAACTGGCTCCTTTTTTAAGTGTCTCCCCTATTTGCTACTACTTTTGTGCCTCAAGTGCCCAAATGTTATGGTGGACTTCTAAATGGGTGAATAACACCTTCCAGTATAAAGCCTGTTTGCTTAAAAAGGGACCGGGGGAGTGGATGGAAGCGAAGTGGTACATAAAGTGTAACGTTATGAAATGCACTGTGCTTCCTGTCCCAAAGTGTTGCTTGTTCTTGGGTGTGTGCCTGAGTGCAGTGTTTTGACTTAACTGTAAATCTAGTTAGGACGGTGATCCCAAGGCTTATTTGCAAACGGGAAGGAAAAAGAGACCAGCATTTTAATCATTGGGCCCTTCGTCTTTGTCCATTTCTACTCCTTTGTTTTTTTTCATAGGAGTTTTCTATTGTGTAACAGTTTCTCTTGGGCTGCATCCATTCTGTGCTGCTGAAAATTAATAGCGATGCAGATTTTCATCTAAGCAGCTTTTTCGCATTTGATTGATTTTAACCACAGTTTTGTCACAGGTAGAAAATGAGGCAGTATTATTAATGTGCATGTTCACTAGCTGATGTTGAAACTTACTGTTTTGATCATTTTAAACTATGTTTTTGTACATATCAGAAAGGCTTAGTCTGCTTTAGAGAATATCTGCATGCTGCTGGAGGGGGACGACAAAGAGCAAGGGAAAGGATAGATGATAATTTGGTTTTAAAAAAATGTGATTAAAAAGCTTGACATTCTTTGTTCTGCTATTAATTGTATTGAGATAAGTCAATGCAATGTAACGCATCTTAGATCTTAGTCTAGCTGTCCAGTTCAGCCTGATGCCTTTTAAAGGTTTGAAGGTATTAATGTTTTGCTTCTCAACATGACAAACATCTTTTTTGCAAATGTTTTTAGCACAATGGTGCCACTGTCCTTGTAGTGTGATTTCTTTGGTCATGGATTTCCAGGTCCTTCCAGTAAGAGGAGAAAGACACTTAACTGGTTAACAGCCCTGTTAGTGTATACATTGCTCTCAAAAAAAAAAAAAAACAACAACAAACAAACCTTTGACTATACTAAGAATAAGCTGTTGTTTCAGAGGCATTCTCCCCGTTTTACTCAGGAGAAACCAAGCATTAGCTTCCCCCCAAATAAAAAGTGACCTTTTGTTCCCCTCCCTACGTACACACCCCAGATGTGTACCAAGCAAATGAGAATGGGGGCCACTGGCAATTAAAACATAAAGAAGCCAGTAACCAGAGTGGGGTGGACATGCTGCTAACTGCTAACAGTTGACCTGAGCAGTCCTAACTTGTACTCGGTCTGTTAGTGTTGGATTGGATTGACTAACAGAGTAAATAAAACTCAGCTGTAATAAGACACACTACATCTGCTATCATAAAGAAACAAATCATCCAGAAGAAACTTTCTTTTATCCCCTGGACACACTCCTTAACTTTTAAACAATTACAATAAATTTCATTCTTTAAAAACTTGGAACATTTAAATTAGAGGATGTTGCTTCTCCCTCCCATGCTTTGTCTTTTAATGGGAAGGGTCTAAATGTGTAAGGAGGGCAATAAAAGGCAAATGCCAAAAAGACTGGAGGGAATGAGTTTTTCCAAAAGCAATGCAAGGGATACTAAGTAGGGGATTGGTACCTGCCCCGGTCTGGGGTAGCTAGAAAAGAAAATAGTGAATGAACCTGAAGTGTTTGTGCAAAAGAAAGGTCTGGTACAATTGTGCCTAGCAGTGGGCGAGAGCATAATGATGCACCGCCCCGAAGAGCTCCCTATGACCAGGTGCCCCATGGCACTCCAGTCTGAGGAACAGGAGAAAGCAAAGACAACTGTGTGGAATAACAGGTTCCTTAACGGGTCAGAAGAGCCAACAAGGACAGTTGTGGGGGTTTTTTGTTTTTTGTTTTGTGGGTGGGAAGTGATGCTGGAGTCCCTTAGGGAAGCAAAGAGATGTGATGGGTCACCTAGGTTATAGAAAAGGCTGGTGGTCAAACTGAGCTCTTAAATGTATTTTCTCCATCATGACTTTTGCTTGCCCCTGTAGCCATGATTGTAATGCCACTTGGCCAAAGACTTCTTGATCAAAATGTGAGCTCATTTACCTTCCTGTGAAGCATAAAAGTAACTTTTCTGTTTTCATGTTTCCCCTCAAAGCTAAACCATGTGGCAGTCTTCCTCGTGTTAGAATTACGACCATATCTGATGTGTCTCCGACTCATTTCCCTATTCCCTGTAGTTGGAGAGTTGCTCCCCATATATGGTAACTTGCAATTAGTGTCTATAAACCCAGCTGTAAAACTGACAGCTGAATTAGTCTACATCACTCTGGCCCAAACACCCACCCTTCCTTGTGTCCTTCCATCATCCCCCTTCTTTCCACATCATGCCCGAGATGATGTTTGTGGTCATGTGGCAATAACTGGACATCAGATACTGTCTTTGGGCATTTGTTAAAAACTCCAAGTGCCTAATAAAGGTTTTTTTTTTTTAAAGGAGCATTTTTACAAGTACATCAAATTGGATCTGCATTATTGTTCATTATAATGCTATATATATTTTTTGAAGCAACATTCTATTGTTATAAAACATCCTTATTCTTTTCTAAAGTGTTATCGTAAATTCATTTGACCTTTACTGCAAAAAAAAAATCTTTTCTATATAGAGTATCAAGACAAGGCTCAGTTTGTAACAAATAGTGGACCATTACAAAAGAGGAAAGGAAAAAGCTGGGGCTGAGCAGCGAGAAGCTTCAGTTCAATTTCACCTCATATCTTTCTAATAACTTACTTGTCACTTTATTACCTTCCAGTAATGTGAATGCTGCTGACAAGACTGTCACACTAACAGCAGACAACACCCTCTCTGCTTCAGCCCCAGCTCTCCTGGCTACTTATTGCCCTGGCCCTGAAGGGACACAAACTAATAGTGCGCTTTCCAGTTCAGCACTTGGCCATCAAATATAAAAGGATGCGTAATTGCCTGTTTATCCCTTGTGAAGGGGAAATGGAGTACAAGGGCTCAGCTTTCCCACTGAGTTCCCTGATGTACACACACAGTCAAAATTCTCCCTTTCTTTCCTTCCCCCTCCCTCTCTCCCTCCCCTCCCAACATACAAGTGCTCGTGCACGCGCACACACACACACACGC